CTACCACAGACAGCTGTCCTTGCTATGAACCACAGCTAGAATATGCTGGTGTCAGATCTAGGCCACCAGTGTGTTGAAATGCAGTGCTGTTTCTTAGTCTTAGACTTTCTTGTCTACAAGAACCTGGAAACTACAAACTTGTAATAACTACAGGTGGCATTGTTTAAAAGTTAACGTGCTTTTCAAGACTTATTTTTCCTGGAGGAGAGGCAGGCTATGATACAAGAAGCATGCAGGCCATGAGTGTGCATGTAGGTAGGGGATTTTTTCATACATGCAAAATGGCAACAACACCCATGGTTTACAACACTTATATTTCCGCAAAAGCCTTGGACCAACACATCAGATTCAGCATTCTGTTGTACAAGGCAAGAACGTAGCTGAAGTTCATTTTCTGTCTATTTTCTCTTTGGCTTCACAGCTTTCCTCTTATCTGCCATCTCCTGTTTTCACATATATGCAAGTTTGACATTAGGCAAGCTGTCCATGATCCTGCTGCAGAAGAATATGATATTATGCCTTCTCTACCCAAAGTGCTGAAGGCTGTTAGGTACAAATGTGTTGCTGATGTACAGTTCATCAGGAATTTCTGTCTGCTTTCTGGGTTTATGTTTAGCACTGACTGTAAAGAGGAGCTCGCTGGCAGGCAAAGTGCCAGTCCTGGTGGGAAAGGATAAGTTATTTTGCTCTTACAGCTCATGGATATTGTGTGTTTGAGTGGCTGTGGCAGCTCCAGCTGATGACGTGTAGGAATAAGGAGGAAGTTTCCCCACAGACTGGGGCACTGGTCACTGAAGCCTGAGCATTTCTTATAGCTTTTGTGAATGCACTAGAGGTGCACTGGCATCCCCCTGGAGATGCTGGGAGAGTGCTTATAACATGACAGGTCTACTGTTATGAATTGATCCATTTGGCACTAATCGATCCCCCATATCACTGGAAATTCCACTGGATGGCCAGGGAACATCACATTCCTGTTCCTTGAGACAGAATCTGGCCCCTGCACTGTTGCATAAAGCCAAGGTGACAGTCGGCAGGTCACAAATCCTCAGTAGCCAGACATATCTGCAGCAGCCATAAAGGCCATAAGTAAGGCCATAGGAGTGATGGATTTCTTCTTCTGAGCCACCTGTAAAATGTTAGCATTTGGGTCATTCATGTGGTAAATGTCTGATATGGGGAAGTAAAAGTATTATAATAACCTTTGCTTTATGGAGCTACTTGGAAGTTCTACAGCTCCAGGAAGAGATTCTTTGTATTTCCCCTTCTGCAAAGAATGTCACAACAGAGGTGGAGGAGAGGATATGTTTTGCCTTATCTGCTCTGCTGTAAGAAACTGGGAAGTTAACATTTTCAGCGAACTGCAGAAACACGGTCTTGACTGATAATAGTAAGAACTAATATTTAATTAAACTTGGACATCATATTAATCATGTGTGTATATTACACCTTATATTCATCCATCACACTGTCATACCAGTACATAATAAACGGTCTTTATGAGCACAGGAAAACAGCTTTAGCTTAAAAGACAGCAGAAATGTAGAATAAAGAAATGTCTTTATTTCAGCTTTTGACTAAAACTACTGATAATCATAGAGACATAATTACTTTTCTCTCAGGGAATAAGTAGCTGCTTAAATGCCCAAACCATCATATACATCAAATCACCAGCTACTGCAAAAATTGGTGTGACTTCAGTGATTTCAGTTAGCATACACAGATTTCTGTCCTCTGACTCCTGGGGCCATTGAATGGAAATCCTGCTGAGCTATGGAAAAGTGGATGGTGTGCTTCTCTGCCTCCCTCAGCAAAATTGTCACCCACACTCCAATTGTGGAACCTTGTTACCCATAACAGTGTAGGGCAGCAGGAACCCCGCTCGACTTCTGAACACAAGGGAACTCATGGTAGCAGCAGTTAGCAAAAAATCTATCTATATAATCTTTTGACATGTAAGTGGAGGAAAATTGCTGCTGAATCACTGGGAGGGAAGAAATATGAGAGCTTAAGATGTCATTTTTACAGGCATAATTTTTACTCTAATGGCCTTTAATAGCACGTACAAGTCAGTGTAATGCTGTCAGCTGCAGCAGAGATAGAGTTATAGAAATGTAATAGCTCAAACTGCTTGGAAGAATAGTTTTCCTGCTGTAGTTAATTAGCAATGTATCGTGGTTTTCCTGTTCTGCTTGCTTGTTCAACTTTTGAAACGGTAACTGGTGTCTTGGCTGTTCTTTCCCATTTATTCAGTGAATTTTTTCTTTTCCTCTTCCTGCAAATAATTTTAGTCTCTTGTGACTCCAGTAACTTGCCATTAGGCACGTTACAGAACTCCTTTGATGTCCAGCACTGGGTAGCACTTTGCGTTAGGTATCTCTTTGACAGTAAACTATTAATTATGCCAGCTTTATCCCCAGTGCATTTAGAGTCAGAAGAGCAGCTGCATGTAATGCCAAGAGAAGCACCATCTGTCCTAATAAGCACTCAAAATCATTACCGAAAATACCTGTTTGAATTCAAAGGTCAGTTTATTTCCTGGGGAAAGGAGATCTGGAGAGCAGGGGGAAATTCAAATGCAATAAGCTCTAGCAACACAGGACAAGGTTATTCAAACACATTGTGGCTGTCATGAAGAGGGTAATTATCCTAGGAACAAAGGAAATATTTATTCTATCCTCTGAAATCATTAAGATACTGAAATCTGACCACAATGGTCCTCATTGTCTGATAGACTGAGAAAAATGCAGGTTGGAAAGGCCTTTGGAGGTCTCTGATCCATCCTTCCTCTCAAAACAGCCAAACTAAAATCTATTTTCTTTTAATTGAGTCACTCAGGGCCTTACCCAGTAGAGTTTTGCATATATTTGAGGCTGGATACCATCGCTTTCTCCACTCATATCCAATGAAGGCAAGCTCCAAAACTAAGTAAATCCTGCTCCTGTAAATTATTCAGCTTCTCCTCTTCCCTGGTGGAAGGAATGTGAGGGCCATGTTAGTGGGGACAGGAATCAGACCCACTGACTGCCATGGCTGTTCGTGTGAGCTCTGCAAGCTGAACGTTTCACTCAATGCTCTAAAATAAGTTACTGTCAAATGCAATATTTCTTTGGAGGTGAAACTTTTCAGAGGAGCAGCCTGATTTTCATGCACACACGAAACCAGAAGGGAATGTAGAAATGATGAAATTGAAATAGTTGAATGCTTCTTTCAACATTTTTCCCCTGTGACATTTTGAATCTTATTTCAGAGAGACTTTAAAAAAACGTTTTCTTTTGACACTTTGATATTATTTCAGCCCTTTGTGTGGAATATATCAACTGATTTTATCAAAATAAAGTAATTCAGTTGATTCCACATGACAAAAAAAAGTCTTAAAAATTTTGGAAATTCATATATTATTGTGCCTGTTTAGCACAAAACTTCTGGTTCTCAAATCTTGATGAAACAAATTAAAGACTTCAAGGTCATCTCTCTAATACATGCACGTAAACTGTGTATATGTGTGTTTTCACATATGTCATGCTTTAATGTGCTTCTGGCACTTAGAAATCCTCATGGGCACCTCCGCAGGCAAGTGGTCCAGCTTTAGTGTGTGTTTCCTAATTTTATGTCTCTAATTCATGATTCTGCTGACCTCATAGAACAGCAGTGAGGCTCTCTCTACATACACATTGTACCTTGATGTTGAGGCATGACTCAGAAACATCTCTGACAGATAATTAATTCCCTTTATAGTTACTGAAAATGTGGCCCCGTCTTTAATGCAGTGCTCATATCCTACGGGGCCCCACGTTGCATAACTTCTGTGCTTGCCAAACCTGGAAGCTACATCTACTAGATGATCGTTATTCATTCACTAAGAAAATGTATTCATTAGGCACATAGCTGAATGATATGTTTAGTTATTTAGAAGACCTGAGCATTTATGGGCGCTTCATGTGTCTCTGGACCCCAGTTTGCTGTCTGGGCACATCAGTACTGCCCTGTTTCTACAAAACGTGCTGAAATCCCAAAATCTGAAGATCAAAAATATTTCACTAGGAGCCTGAGACAAACTGTCAGGTCAGGACCATCAAAAGCTGCAATAGGATGATATGGTTGCTCATCTGCTAAGCTTATGGGCATCAGAGCAATTAGATTTCCAGTTTTAGGTTTGATACGCCTTCCTGATGTAGAAATCTGCTAGCAAGTGGGTAGCCCAAGGACCAAACAAACAGAAGAGCTGATTTATTATCTCTTTGCGAAGGCATTTTTAGTTCGTGGCTAGTTGTTATATTAAGAGAAGGGACCTGTTGTACTATGAATATTATGGATGTTTCAGGAAGAGAAAAGAGTGCGCAGGGCATGTCCTCTTGACAGTGAAAAGACTGGAAGCCCCATTTGCCCTGTCCTTGTGGCAGAAGGTTAAAGTCCAGCCAGACAAGAGGCAGATTTCTGGGAGGCAGAAAGGGAGCTTGGCTATGGAAAACCACACTTTATTTCACTGACATTTTCACAGCTTTGAAACACTTTTCTAATTTGCCATAACAGCTTTTTCAGTCTTGTCAAAATAAATGTCCATTGCAGTTAGGAAAACCCCAACGTTTACTCAGTTATGGCTAAAAGGGAGGAAGGTGTTCTCATTCATCACAGTAAGGAGGGTGCAGACAGCTTTGTGAGTAACTGCAGAGGAAGAGGAGGGATGAATGTGAAGTCACTCCCTTGCTCCGCGACCTCAGACAAACCACAGCATTGATTTGTGCCTCATTTTCACTAGCTGGAAAACAGAAAATACTAGCTTTCCCCTGTAAGGCACTCTGAAACTGTATTTATTCCTGCTGTGAAAATATGCTGAGGTCTTTGTGTAAGAGGCAGTCAATGGAAACCGGCTACAGGCTCATTTTTTCTCTATTTTGAAAGGCAGGAGAAACAACCTGCAGAAAATGCTTTACAGCTTTATTTTTAGAAGACATGGATGTCTCCTTTGATGACTGCTGTTCCCACTTCTCTCCTTGCAGGTACTATGCTATCTGCTGCCAGCCTCTGGTTTACAGGAACAAGATGACTCCATTGCGCATTGCTGTAATGCTTGGAGGGTGCTGGGTAATCCCGACATTTATTTCTTTCCTCCCTATCATGCAAGGCTGGAATAGCATTGGCATCATTGATCTGGTGAGTAGCTAAGGGGGAACACCAACCTGATATCAAATATATTTGGTGCTGTATATTCTTTAAAAAGATATATTCAGAGAAAAGAAGGCAACAGAGGGGGTTTTTAAGTGGGTTTGAAATGACTCTGTCCTGGAAACATGGGTACAAAGACAATGGTGGCTCTGGGAGTGGATTTTACGTCTACTGATCAGTTCAGTGAGTAGTCCTTCGAAAACATGCCAAGCCCCAGCTTGCTCCTGATGGGCACCTCAGGAGTTCTTGGTTACCCTTGACCTTCTTGCCATGCTAGTGATTGGAGAGCCATGAAACTCGAACTTCCTCAGCAGGGACAGCATTTTGGGCCAGTTCTATCAATATCGCTGTCCTGTTAGGAGCCTAGGAGGGGAGAAGGTGAAGTTCCCCTCTGCAAATCATTTTAGCTGGAGTCAGTTTTCCCTGCTGCAGGATCACTTTCAGGATCCCATCTACAGGGGAAGGAGTTAAGAGCTGCAAATGCACTTTCCTTCTAGTGTAGAGATGCAGGAATTAAAAATGGCAAACTGTGAAAACACTGTTTAGAAGAGCTTGTTTAAAGAGATTTGGCATCCTCTATGCCAAGTCTTAGCCAAGGAGCTGTGAATACTTTTTGGCTCATGGAGAATAACAGGTGCAAGCTGCCCAGCCTCTAGACAAGGTGATAAAGCCAAAATTGCTTCTAGACAATCACCTTCAGGACATGCATGTGTCAATGATGAGACCTCAGACAAAGGAAACAATCTGCAGACTTCTCACTCTCAGGCTGCTGTCGCCAGCCTTGCTCCTGGGAAGTTCCATGTTACCCCCAGCCTGTAGCTGCCCTCCACTTGCTGCAGCCTGGTCCCTTTCCTGTCCATCTGGTCCTTTCCTAATACCCCCTGTGGGACTTGGCTGTGTGGAACTTGTGCATCTGTGGTGTAAAAGCACATCCTGAACAGAGCAGTGAGCACTGCAGAAAAGCATGGCAGAAAGTGGAGTTACTCCCCTTTGCTGTGTCTCAACTAGGGAGTTACACCGATTTTCACTGGCCAGGTTGAGGCATGCTCTGCGATGCTGGAGCTGCAACATGAGATGGTCCAGAAGACCCGAGGGCCTGCAGTACCACAGAGCCCACAGTGAGCACAGGCAGGAGAGGCAGCAGTGGGTAAGGCAGGTCCTGTGGATAGGAGAGTGGAGGGAGTACATAGTGTCAGAAAGTGGTGATGAGGTCTCCTAGGAAACGTGCTGCTGGTATCAGAGAAGAGCTGAACTTCTTTCCTTCTTTGTCCTTGTCCTTCCTGCCCTTGTCCCAGATTCAGCAAAGGCAGTTCAACAAGGCTTCCAACTCCACCTACTGCATATTCATGGTCAACAAGCCATACGCCATTACCTGCTCCGTGGTGGCCTTCTACATTCCCTTCCTCCTGATGGTGCTGGCCTACTACCGCATCTACATCACAGCCAGGGAGCACGCCCGGCAGATCCGGGTGCTGCAGCGTGCAGGGGCCCCCACCGACGGCCGGCAGCACCACCCGGACCAGCACAGCACGCACCGCATGAAGACTGAGACCAAAGCTGCCAAGACCCTGTGCATCATCATGGGGTGCTTCTGCCTGTGCTGGGCCCCGTTCTTTGTCACAAACATAGTGGACCCTTTCATAAACTACACGGTGCCAGGGAAGCTGTGGACGGCTTTCCTGTGGCTGGGCTACATCAATTCGGGGTTGAACCCTTTCCTCTACGCCTTCCTGAACAAGTCTTTCAGACGTGCCTTCCTCATCATCCTGTGCTGTGGTGATGAGCGATACCGAAGGCCTTCCATCTTGGGGCAGACAGTCCCGTGTTCCACCACCACAATAAATGGATCGACTCATGTACTAAGGTGAGTGTTTCTCGGATGCTGCAAAATGCCTGTAGACATAGGAAAGAGCACTTCTCTAGAGTTTTTGTAGAGGATTGGTTTCACTTTGCTTTTGAAATATCTGATTAATTAAATGTTTAAAAAGGGAAGGGTGCAAGAGAAGCAGCCAGAAATCCTTAGGGTGCTTAGACAACCTAGTTTTGTAGATGACAGATGTGTGTTGGCATGCACACTTTCTCCAGAGGTGTGTTCAGGGATCCAGAAGCTGTGTATGCATTTTGGCAAGGCCTGCTGTCTGGTCTGGGGGGAGCAACTTGACCCCATGGGGAGCACCTGGGGGATGCTGCCTGCTCTGTCTTCTCTAGGAAAGAGATCATGACACCTCCCATTGCCCCTTCTCAGACTCTGCCTTTGATGGCCCACCAGCCACTGCTGCAGCTTCTGAACTAATGAAAGGCAAAGGATGAACTTCCCCAAACACTGTGATCCTGGGACACGTCAGTGGATCTCTGGGAGGAGGGGGGCTTGCGATTTTGTTTGAGCAGCTCAGCAATTCCCAGGGTGTCTGCCTTGCACTGTAACCCAGACAAACTCCCAAACGCTGTGGGAGCCCCAGGAGCTGAGCATGCCTTGCATGGGCTACAGCCTGGTGTTGACAGTTTGGGTCCCAGCAAATTTGAGCCCCACACCATTCACTGAGTACCACAGTGTGTTCATTGCAAGAGGAGAGGATGTGGACTCTGCACTGTGGGGGTAAAGAGGGGTTTGGAGGTCTCTGTGGTGTGAGACACCCGCTGCTGTCTTCTCCTCATGAAGCAGAGAGGTGGGAGGCAGAGCACAGGAGGAAGGGAGGGAAGAACAATTATCTCCCATAATATCAGAACTGCAGACTCTGGATAAAACTAGAGGTGTTTCTATGCAGTTTTCTAGAGGGGATTTGGTTCTTTTGCTAGATGGATTCTTGGCTCTTCCCATGCAGATAAAGGATTTGGTAACTCTGTGCTCAGAGCTGAACCTGCCCAGAGACTAAATCAGACACTGAGCACTTCCCAGCTGAGCCTCATCTGCAGGTTTGCCCTAAGCTCCCTTCTGCAGTGATTGCTGAATTTGAAAGAGTCCTGAGCTGTTTAATGGATGGGAGATGGAGCCAGACTTGTCACAGCCTTGAGACAGACCTCTCAAGTTTTCTAACTCATGAAGGACACGGCAACATATTTATCTTCTGCTGAGTAAAAACTGTTTGGGGGCCATGGTCCTAGAGCCCTCTGTGATGGATGCCGGGCACTGTGCCATGCTCAGCCTGTGTTTCTGTCAGAGCTGTGCTCCCAGGGACAAGGCTGATGCTCCTCTGCTGTGGTTAGGAGGATTGAGGGAGCAGCCCTTCTTGGACTCAGCTCTCCATCCCACAGTGAGCCAGCCAATACCTCTGGCTGGGGAGCTGTAGGGATAAATGCTGGAAACACATCCCTGCACGGGTCTTGGCCACTCAGGCCAGCTGCGGAGGCTCTGACGAGCTGCAGTAAATGGTGGATTCCACCATGGAGTTGAGATCAGGCATTCCTCATTCTAGCTTCTCACTCCCCCTTGTACCACTCTGGTCCCACATAGAACCTGTCCATGGAAATGTATAACAATCCTGTCAATCTAGATGTGACGACCACTGTATTTGTAAGAAGCAAACCTGTGCAGGGCATCTTGTCCACTTCTAGCTTTTTGTGAGTACTTTAATGGATAAAAGCATGTTCCTTCTTTTCAACATACAACATGTACAAACCAGATTACCTTCTGCCTTTCTGTGTTGCTCCACCTCTGCAGAAGGCACTTGCTTCCTGCTGCCACATCCTCTCCTCCCTCCCTGAATCCCTGGAGGGATTCAGCTCTGCGCATCAGCACTTCAGAGAGCAATTATTTTCTATTGTCTTCAGCTTTGTAATGGATGAGGGAAGTGTGACTTCTTTGCCTGGTGCAGATTAAGCACTGATGCTGACAGAGGTGTGGGGATTAAAACAAACCAATGAACTGTAGTTTTTGGACAGTTGAGCTTTTTTGAGGAATTTTCATTTCTTCAGTGCTTCTCTCTTAAATGCAGAGAAGGTTGGACTCAACATGGATGGAGGAGAAATTTGGTGAGGTGGGTTCTCTGAAGATGTAATGTGTATTTCTTGACTAGTTTGGATATATAAGGGGTTTGTGCCTAGTAAATGGAATAGTGAAACCTTCCTGTATGGGCCGACTTCATACCAACCCAACTGAGAAGCTGCACAGGAGCAGCGCCTGGCTCATGCACTTCTTCACTTCTTTTCCAACCTCAAAGCTGTTTCTTCCTGACCAAGAACTGCAAAGGGGGAAGTTGCACAAGTGGGATTTTGCAGCTGTTTTTTGTATCCTGGCAGGGAGAACAGTGAAGAGCAGGAAAGACCTTGTGCTGTGTTCCTTCCCCAAAACCTGCAGAGATTAGTATTTTGTGTTAAGTTGACATGGGTCATTTAGCGTCAGGGAGTCAGGAGTAGGTAGATTGGGATTTTTAATTCTTTTCCACTTCCAATCTTGAAAAGATCTGAACTTTCCTTCAATTCTATCTGTCCAAACCATTCTGTCCTTGCTCACAATCAACTCACCGGTGCATTTCCAAGTGCAAGAATATGCTTGTCACTGTTAAAACTCAGGCTCTTGCTCTTGGAGGCACCACTTGTGAGAGTGCTTTCTAGGGAAGGGACAGCATTTCTTCTATTCTTCTAATAATTTTAGTGTCACAATGTTATGACATTACGATTTTGGGATTTTTCACATTTATATTAGGAATGGGAAAAAAAGAAGAAGGAGGAGCAGAGTGCAATAAAACACGTCAGCGAGAAGAGGCAGATGCTCTCACCACACACAGACTGAAACCACTTGGGAAGCAGTTCTCATTCCTTCTTTCTTTTATAACTTATTTTTCAAGTGATCTATGAAGACTGTGGTGCTCTGAGTGACCCAGCAGGGAGAGACTTTGTACAGCACTCCTTGGGCCAGACCCAACCGCAGTGGCAATGGTGCAAGGGAGGTGACTGCACAGTGGCTCAACTATGATATGAGAGTGACCACAGCTTTCTTACTTCCCTGGCAACCACCTCACTTTAAGTTATGAACCAGAAGATGGGGAAAGGATTTTCTGTCACCCATTTAGTTCTCAAACTTTCCACCAGCTGGTGTGAGAGACACCCATTTGTTGGGCATAGTAAGACGTGACACAAAGTGTGTTCTGAAGATGTCACAAGCAGCTGGGAGATAAGATTTGGTCAGAGTTGAATCTGTGTGTATGATGGGAAAGAGTATTAGAACTCAATATTCAGCTTTAAGAGAAAATTTCAGTTTGACTGTTTTCCAATTTTGCTTTCTGCAAGTGTAGGAATTGCCGGAACCCCCTTTTTTTACCCCTGAATATTCACCTATTTCAATCTGATGTGTACCATCAACTGCAAAATTCAGTCAGGACACAGGAAAATGGTGAATTGAAATTTGCAGGTGTGGCTACAATCTGAAATTCACGCACTATTCATTTTTCAATGGTTGAGATTGCAGCTCACATGTCATATACGAAGTTTTGTTTCTCTGGCTGCAGCACAAATTGTGTAATTCATTATAAATATTTGCAATTCATAGCTCTAATAACCTGTCGTTTGGAATATCATTCATTGAGAGGACTAGGGAATCATTCTGAATACTGAGGGGATAGGAGAATTTGCAATGAGCACTCACCGTATGGCAAAAATTAGTACAATTATTAATTGCAATAGATATGGGTTTCTGGATGTCTGTAACTTTTGTTCTGTTCTGTGCACCATGAGAGTGAAAACAAAATGCCATAATCATCTGAACAGTTCTGTCTTCCCCTTTAACCATATTGCTTGCATATCTTTTGTCACACAGAGATATTTATGCAACACAAAACAACAAACTCATGCCTTCATGAATCATTAAACTCTCATTTTGCACAGGTGGATGGGAACTCAGATCAGCATTGCTTGAATTCTTGGAAAAAACAAGTTCTGAATTTTGCCACAGCAAAGATGAATTTGAGTAACATATATTTGAGCAATGATTGGAGTCGGTAAACTCTGGAATGTTTGAGTCTAGGAGTTCACTTTGGTGCATTCCCCATTTCCTCTCAGCAGTGCACGGTTCAGCACAGTACAGTGTATTGGTCTTTTCAGGGAAAGATACAGTGAGTGGTTTATTTACTCATTTTCCATCAGAGACGGGTCTTCTCAGACAAAGCTGATGCCAGTTTTACTTCTCCAAAGTAAAACTCATCCTGATCTGCCTTTTAGAAGAGCCAAGAGGAACAAAGTGGAAAAAAAAGCACGTTGGGGGCTGGAAGTTCATTGTCTTCATAAATACAGAATTACATTAATAAGCCAATCAGCCCACACTCGTGTCAGCACTCTGCAGGTGCATAAAACACTGGGAGAAGTGTGCAGTAAACCACGGCGTGCAGCCGGCACTCGACACCAGAGCTCTGCTGGGGAGTCTTATTGGTCCCAGGAGGGATTTACATGAGTAATTGTGCCAGTAAATCTCCCAAACTGCAGCGAGCTCCAGTGCTTCCTGGCGGCTGCTGGAACTGGCAACACAGAGACTCAGGTCTCCAGTTTTTAGAAGTTTAGCAACTCCATGGCTTATGGATCTATTGGAATACAAATAAATCCACGCTGGCTGTAGGGAGGAGAAGGTCAGAGCTCCTGTGGAGCAAAGGAAGAAGTGATGTGCACCTATCAGTGATTTCACGGACTGCAGTTGTGGCTGGACTTAGAAAACACAGAGGTTAGTTACTCAGAGCTGCTTTCTGATGGAACCAGCAGGTCTTTCTCAAGGATTTACAAGTAAAATAACTCCTCCTGTTCTGCCTCCTCCTGTTCCTCTTATCTCTTATCCTTCCTTAGGCACTAAGACAGCCACAGAGACTGCAGAGCTTCCTGAGGCAGAATAACAGACTCGCTGCCGAGGTTCAGAAAGCCCCAGCAGATCCCACCGCTCCGCAG